TGTGTGTGTGTGTGTGTGTGTGTGTGTGTGTGTGTGTGTGTGTGTGTGTGTGTGGAGATGCCCCCCGTCCCTACACAAGTGGTGCAAGAGTTTGGTTCACATTGCCAGCAGTAAGTCGGATTCAGTTCAGTTTATTTATATAGCGCCAAGTCACAACAGGAGTTATCTCAGGGTGGGAGTTGAACTCCACCAGCTGCTCGTTGTCTCAGATTCTGTTCAGAACTTTTATGGACAGAACTTCTCGGTGCAGCCAGGGGGTGGAGGGAGTCCGGTTCAGTGGCCTCAGGATTCATCTCTGCTCTTTGCAGATGATGTGGTCCTGTCGGCGTCATCGTGCCGTGATCTTCAGCTCTCACTGGAGCGGTTCACAGCCGAGTGTGAAGCAGCTGAGATGAGAACCAGCACCTCCAGATCTGAGGCCGTGGTCCTCAGTCAGAGGGTGGATTGTTCTCTTCAGGTCGAGGGTGAGGTTCTGCCTCAAGTGGAGGAGTTCAAGTATCTCAGGGTTTTGTTCACGAGTGAGGGAAGAATGGAGCGAGATTGACAGACGGATTGGTGCAGTGTTTGCAGTATTGTGGACTCTGTACCGGTCCGTTGTGGTGAAGAGGGAGCTGAGCTGTAAGACAAAGCTCTCTGTTTATTGGTCAGTCTACGTTCCTCCCCTCACCTCTGGTCATGAACTCTGGTAAGGATGCTCCCTGGACGCCTCCCTAGGGAGGTGCTTTGGACATGTCCAACTGAGAGGAGACCCCGGGGAAGACCCAGGACATGCTGGAGAGACTAGGTCTCTCTGTTGGTCTGGGAACACATTGGAGTCCTCCCAGAAGAGCTGGAGGAGGTGGCTGGACTTCCCTGCTCAAGATGCTGCCCCGAGTCCAGAACAAGAGGAAGATGATGGATGGATGGATGGATGGATGGGTATTGCTACATTTGACCTGACTGGGAACGTGCTCTTCTCAGGCCAGAAAAGCTTCAAGTTTGTGCATTACATCTCCAGTCGTGCTCCACCGACCTTCGAACAGTTTAGCTGTGAAACGAACCTTTATCGATTTCCTCTGTAGAGCAGGGACTTCCATCAGGGGAGTGGAGGTGGTCGGTGCTGCAGGGGCGCGGAGACGGGCTTGATTCACCGCTCGAAGGGGCCTGCGTGTCCGTGTCACGCGTGTCCCCACTGTGGCGATGCAGCGGGAACGGGGCACGACGGCCATCCACCACCTCCATGGCCTGTGGGGTCAAAAGGTCAAAACGCAGAGGCGGGGGTGAGAAGTCAGACGTGAACGTGCATGAATCTAAAAACTGCAGCGTGACGCTTCATGTTTAAAAACATAGGTGAAAGGTCACAATCCCTCCTCAGTACGATGGGTTATTGATGGGTTATTGATCATTTATTTAAGTAAAGAAGTGAAGGAGGCCTCTGATGTGCTGCTCTAAAGGACAGGTGGAGAAACTACCAGCTCACCTGATGGAGGAACTCCTGAAGAGCTGATGTGAGTCGTGTTCTGCTTGGCTCGGCTGATTCGAATGGAAAAAGACTGCGCTGTAAATCTGTAGGTGTGCGTGTTAAAATGTGTGTGCGCAGCCTCCGAGCCCTGCCAAGGTTTACAGCCTCATATCGGACCTGATTTACCGCCGTCTTTCCCTCCAAGCAACTGAATTCTAGGCCAGAGAATTTATACATGTAGGAAATCTCTTCAAGCCTGTGACTGCGTGTGTGTATTGAATGTTGAGCCCCGTTATTGTTTAAAGTCATCAGCACCGTCCGTTACCTCCACAGGTTCGAAACAGGACTATTCTAAATCAATCTTTGTTTCTTTTGGTGTTGAATTTGTTTAAACTGTTGCTAATATTTATGCTACACAGCAGTTACGATGTTACAATAATAATCTAAGCAGAAAAGCTTCATCTACACCTCCTTACAGTATCGAGATCCATTTTCTTTATATTTGCACCTCATCACGTCATACAGAGGACTAAGCTGCAAAGTGGTAAATTGATAGTTGGCAGTTCTAGTGCATCAGACGAAAAGTCTGTAAGATAAACTCCTCACCTGTAGGTCCCTTGATTGAAAATTATAATCCTAAAGTTTAAAGACCTTTTCTGAGCAGGACGAGCAACAAACGATTTTGTGTAGAAAAGCCCTAAATTGATCGCTATATTCCGGGCATGCTAGCAAAGCAATATTTAGCACCAGCTGGGAAATCAAGATGTCTAAACATGGTTTGAGCTTTGTTTCATCAAAGAACGTCCAGAAATCCTCATTAAAATTAAGATTCAGACCAATTTTTCAGGGGTTATCCTGATTAACAAGACAACTCAAGCTGCATCGTTAGAATTGCTCATATCAGGATGTTCATGTCAAAATGCAGCTTCACAAACCAGGATCCTAAAAAGTGTTTAGTTTGACCAAATATATACGGTTACTTGTTTTTATACTTTGCTTCCATGGAACTTCGTTTTTCCAGCATTAGTTTTCCAAACGTCCCAAACGTCTTTTTCTTTGAGCGTTTTATCTTTTTCCAGCTCTGTCAGACATTTTACTGTGTTTTGGTGAAAGAAGGATTTGACTGACAAATGGCAGAGTGCAGTCCAACAAGGACTCGACAGTGATTTGTGTCAAACGTCTGGAGAGCCACCTCTGGCGTTCGCACACATCTGTACCTGCATGCCGTGCTCCCAGTCATCTCTGACGAAGACGTTTTCCAGCTCACGGTTGATCGCCTCTACGCTGCTTGGCACCCGACATACGAGGGATTTAGTCAGAGGGCTCGTCATCAAAGCTGAGGAGGTTCCCTTGTGCTAGAAAGACACGATGAAAAAAATTACCGTTTTCAACAATTTGTTCTCAAACTCCGACCAGTCCGTCCTCTGCTCAAACTACGTGGTGGAATAACAAGTCTGGAATTTTAATTAACCAAGAATCATTTCGTGCCTGAAGGAGTTCACTTAAAGGTAAATAAATCCCCTGTAAGAAACTAAAGCTGCACTTTGTTTTTAAATTAACGTGTAAGCAGTCCCGTCTCCCACGTGTTTGTTTAGCTACAGAAACAGCCGAAGGGACTGAAAATAGGTCAACGATGGTGAAGTCCGAGGAAGTTTCACGGTTTCGACGTGCTGCTACGGATTCAGTTCAGATTTGGGGAGCGGTGGCGCAGAGGTTAGAGAAGATGGGCCTGTGATCGGAAAGTCGCAGGTTCGACTCCCGTTACGTCAACATCAAAATGTGGGTGGAAAAGGTGAAACGCCCACACCTGCCTCTACCTTCATCTGCCCCACACTGGGCCCCTGAGCAAGGCACTCAACCCCCACCATCTGCTCCCAAAACAGGTCTCTTAAAACTTAGTTCTCGGGACTCAATGAGACTACCTGGATAAATAAAAGATAAATAAAAATAAAAGCATTGCTGAGTAAAGCGTGCAGATACAAAGACACAAAAAGACGCTTTTTCAGGCTTGAAAGCCGAGCTCGTCTTTATGGCCCCCCCCCCCCCCCCCGCCCTGCTTGATCTCCATTATTTATCCCGGACAATTTTCTTACTCGTTCGTTCTCGTCCAGCGGCAGATTCACGTTTCCATTTCCACCTCATCTTCTCCGAGACCCGACGTGGGTCCGATTATGCCACATTTGTTTACCTACTCAAAACACAACCAGCCTCATGAAGGTCAATCACACAACTCGGACTCCTACGTGGTTTCTGGCAGATGCAGCCCGGTGTTTTGTTTACATTGGGTGCGTACCCGCATTTCAGATTTTTGTATCAACTATGAAGCAGCACGGTGGCACAACTGGTAGAGCTGCTGCCTCTCAGCGAGCAGGTCCTTGGTTCAAATCCCGGTCCGGGTGCCTCTCTGGGTGGAGTTTGCATGTTCTCTCCGTGCTGCGTGGGTTTTCTCCGGGTACTCCGGTTTCCTCCCACAGACCAAAAACATGCATGTTAGGCTGATTGGTAACTCTAAATTGTCCCTAGGTGTGAGTGAGAGAGTGAATGGTTGTCTCGTTTGTCTCCATGTGTCCCTGTGATGGACTGGAGACCTGTCCAGGGTGTCCCTGTGATGGACTGGAGACCTGTCCAGGGTGTCCCCTGCCTCTCGCACAGTGATTGCTGTACATGGGCACCAGTGATCCCAGTGACCCAAAAAAAAGAAGATGGTAAAGATGATGGATGGATGGATATCAATTATGCATCTTTCAAACTGCATCATTAGCGTTAGCTCAAAGCTAACCCACTTCATGTTTGCACCTTTAAAACGTTCCATATTTAAGTTTTTCCACATTCTGAAAACGGGTCGAACACAGAAATCTTTGTTTTGTTCTTTAAGCTGCGCAGAGGCTCCATTCTGAGGGATCTGTTAATGAATGAACGGCAAACAAGGACAGAGAACACGTCCAGGCACGTTCCTGTTTCTCTGCACCTCCCTTCATCATTACTGACCACAAAGAAAAGACTGCAGGAGATTATTGTCACACCAGCTGAATCCATTTCAGTTCAGCTTATTTAAATAGCGCCAAGTCACAGCAGAAGTTAGAAGTTTTGCTTTACATTTTATACTTGGGTGGATGTAACTGGGACCCTGTGTACACAATTTCGTTTCCCCACGTGCACCACAGGTGGAGTGAACAACAAACATGCCTATTATCACACACGGCCAGTGAGTAAAGGGGTTCTAATTCTAAACAATCGAACAGTTTGCTTGATGAGAACTTGCAGACATTTAGGTTTCATGATGCAACACTTGATTTATTGTTCAGAGCCGTTAACTCTACGTTAAAACAGGTGGTTGACCTTCAGCAGCTGTGTTTTAGTTCGGTCACCCTCAGTGTCATTTGTGTGTTTCCGTTCAACTGCTAAGATACCTCATCACGTTACTGCAGCGGCTGCTGGTTAATGTTTCCAGCCGAGCAGAGCGGCGGCTCCGGCAGACGAGTGAACTCACCTGTGGTTGGCACGCAGCGCCGTGCGCCGGCTGCAGCAGCTGCAGGGAGATCTGCTCCCGGTCTTTGCTCTGCCGGGTGGCCTGCTTGCTGCGCTGCAGCTGCAGCCTCAGTTTAGCAATCTGCTGAAAGAAAACAACAAACACCAGTTTGTAAATGACGACTCTCTGTGAAGCTCCGTAATAAACCTCTACAGCAGCCGGGCGGGAAAACACCCACCATCAACACTGGGCCTAGAATAAGCACAGAAATTTATATTTACAGATCTAGAAGATTTACGTCTTCGTTTGAATGTGTAATTAACTGATATTCGCCGCCGTCCACCGTTAAAATCTTCTTGTGTTAAGAAATAACAGCCTTGTAGTTTTGGTCAAACCTTGAAAATAAAGAGCACTTATACAACATGTCACACTTAGAAGATGGTAGTAATGACTCTCAGCTACTACCATATCTAAATTTAGCTCAATAATTGTAAATTGGACTAAGATGGAACCACTTTCATGATGCTAATGTCACTTAGCTGTGGAGGCCATTTTGAATTGGACTGATTCCAAAACTTAATCAGTTGTAGATGCACGTCCGTTGATTACTTGATGCAAATCTCATTAAAATTCATCCAGTGGTTTATGAGATATTTTGCTAACAGACAAACTGCCTGTATCCTATGGAGCTAGACCATATATTTTATGACTTAAGAGGATTTTCCATCTTGTGTGGAGGACGTGATCAGTGTGTCACTTCGGGGATTTATCCAACATATTCTCCGCTTTGTGCTTCAATAAAAACGAAGTCAAACGTTGCAGCAGGTCAGTTTGGTGCAACGAGCCGTCTTGCATGTCTGATGAAGAAACGCGTTCGGTGGATGGGTGTTGCTACATCTGGCCTTGTAAACAGGATAGTCTTTGTGAGCCCAACAGACACGGTTGTGCTGTGCAGACAAAGGTGTGGTTCTTCAGCGCAGATCTTGAACTCCTGGCAACACGATCAACAAAGTGACTCGCTCTTTTCAGACGTGTCCACCCACACGTTCAACCGTGGAGGTTGGAGAGCCGCAGCTCGCTGCCGGAGCCAGTCGACAACGACAAGCCCAGGCAACCCCACAGTACTCCTGGTTGATGGGAGCGACAGGTTCTGCTGCTGTTGGTTCTACGGGCCCAAAAGATGAACACGTTTTCCTCCAGGCCCGAGTCAGCGTTCACTCGGCTGTTTTCATGTTTAGACTTTCTTCTGAACAACTTCTGGACTGTAAACATACAAAAGCATCATTTTGGTTGTTTTAACCGTTCGTCAAAACGTTCAGCTCCTTCAGTAGATTACAGTTAGGACTTCTGGTTCTTGTAGATTTTATACTTTTTGAACTATTCAGCTTTATTTACAACAGTTTAATTTATTGACAACTCCAGCATATTTGCTTCTAGGCTTCAGCTGCTGTTCTACGTTTTAGCCTTTAACGACTGTTTTGTTATGTTTAGCTTTCAGTAGTTTGTTTCTAATTTTAGCTTATAGCTACAATTTTCCTGGTTTTACCTTTGAAAAGTTTTTTTTTTAAGCTTTCAGCTGTTATTTTTTTAGCAGCTGTTGCATTATTTTTTTAGCTTTAGCTGCTTTTCTGCAATTTATAGTTTTAAGCTGCCATGTTTCTAATTTTAACTATTAGCTACTGTTTTGCTAGTATTAGTTTGTAGCTAGAGATTAATTAGTTTTGTAATTTACTCAACTGTACCAATTTTAGCATTCATCTACAACTTTAGCTTTGGGTTGTGAACAAAAAAATGAGATCTCAGATACAAGCAGATGAAATGAGTTTTCTCCGCAGGGTGTCTGGGCTCTCCCTTAGAGACAGGGTGAGAAGCTCGATCATCCAGGAGGGACTCAGAGTAGAGCCGCTGCTTCTCCACGTTGAGAGGAGCCAGTTGAGGTGGCTCGGGCATCTGGTTAGGATGCCTCCTGGACGCCTCCCTGGTGAGGTGTTCCGGACACGTCCCACCGTGAGGAGGCCCAGAGGAAGACCCAGGACACGCTGGACGGACTATGTTTCTCAGCTGGCCTGGGAACGCCTCGGGATTCCCCCGGAGGAACTGGACCAAGTGGCTGGGGAGAGGGAAGTCTGGGCCTCCCTACTTAGGCTGCTACCCGACCCCGGATAAACGGAAGAAAATGGATGGATGGATTTACAACTTTATTCCTTTCAACTTTCAGCTGCTCTTCTGCTAATTTTAGCTTTGAATTATGTTCTCTTAGCTTTAGCTGCTGTTCTGCTACTTCTAGCTTTAGGTGCTCATCTGTTTTTCAGCTATTAGCAGCTGCGTTTCCAATTTTAGCTTGTAGCTAAAGTTAAGCTAATATTAGCCTATAGCAACTAATATACTAATTGAGCATTTATCTGCTGTTTTTCTAATATTAGCTTTTGATTCTTTTATTCAATGATTCGCCTTTAGCTTCAACAAATTTCAGCAATCAGCACCGACGCTGAATTTTAGCAGAGAGCTCATTTTTCTCGTTACAGTGAAATTCTTTTTACATTTAGAGGTTTGCAATGAGGTTTCAACAATCGGAAGCTGCAGGAAAAAGTTTTCTGAAACTGTTGAGGCCGTTTGTAACAAACTGCGTCTCTGCTCGAGTCGTTCTTCCCGTCAGCTGAGCTACAGCACATCAAACATTTACACGGAGCGCAGGTAGAGCCCAACAAAAGTTCTAACAGGAAAACTCTTAGAGCAGCCGTCATCGTCTCTGAGACACATTAAGCCATTTCTGACCCAAAACTTGTGCGTACATTTATATATTTCAGTCTCAAAGATCTGCATCAATGAGCTCATCACCATTAGCGCTACAAAGGATGGGTTCCTCTAAATTCACCCGAGCTGTAAAAACTGTAGAAGGGAAACGAACATGTCCGTTCCCCCTTCAGAAACAGCAGCCCATAATAAGATGCACACGGAGAACGGAGGAGGATAAATTTAGGCTGTGGTTTGGAGAGATGGAGTGCATGTGGCTAACTGGTCAGCCTGCCAAAACCAGCAGATAGACAGGAGTGAAAAACTAACGAGAGAAATATTTAGGCTGACCTAAGATGCTCATCAAATACAAACGTACTTTGAAGGACTCGAAAACCTCAAAAATGACATTATTTTATCCAGCGGTGTGGAAATATCTTGGCCTCGCCTCTCGGTGTTGTGACAATATGCCACATTTTTCTGATTGTCGTCAGGAGCAGCTGTGAATCAGCAGAAAGAAAATTAAAACGGGTCAAAGTACCTCTTTCAGGTGGTCTGCACTCCCCCACGAGGCTGACCGCTGGTGAGGACTCCCCAGATCTGCTCCTTCGTCAGTCCAGACACCTGGTGTCTACAACAAACAACAGCGTTATAAGGCGCCATCTTTCCTTACAACACACAGAAAAAACCTCTTCACATTTACTGTTGCAACCAAATCACAAGTTTGATGCCACGCAGGCGCACAACGTTATGGGGACGGTGGATCGATGAATTGTGACGTCGACATGAACGATTCTGAATCCGTTTTAAAATATCAAGAACTGATCATTTTATGTCATACTGAGTAACAAAAAGGCAGAAACTTTAAAGTGCTCAAATATTTTGTGAGGGTAAAAGAAGATTACATTTAAAGATCCACACCGAGCGTTCGTTGCTGCTGCTAACGGAGACGTATGGAGCAAGCAGCGTTAAAGTTTTCACCCAACTCGGAAAAAGCAAATTACAGAGTTCACGGCAACTTTTATTGTGAAGGATTTACGTCCAACTTCAGTCGTTGAAAACCAGAGTTCGTGCACGTTTCACCGCTTGGAACATGATGATACGAGCCATTCACACACTTCACTAACGGATGAAAACAGGAAAAATAGACAGTTTTATCCATTTTCCAAGTTAAAGTACAACTGATTTATACAAATACTGCCAACAGGCATACACACCATTAGAGCTGTCATTTCTAACCTGAACCTGGAGCCCGGCCCGGCCCAGGCCATGATAATGTGCGGGCCAGATCAGTGTCGGGCTTTATATTGCGTCAGGGACGCGCGCTGCCGATGATCCAATTATATGCCAACATGGTTTGCCATACCATCACCAGCTGCACGCAGCCATTTGACCGCGAGCTGACCGGCCGGTTGAAAGAAGTAAAAAGTTCAGTTAAGCTTCAGATGGACTACTGCCAGCGATCCATCGCCCAAATGGACGTTCGTTCAGCCGCTGCGCTCAGCGGACGCGCACGGCCGACGACCCAAACAGGTGAGATCAAAAAATATCTGGCAGGTCAGAGCAGGATGCAGACAGAAGCAGGGGAAGCATTTAATGCACTTTGATGGTTCCTCAGCTCTGATCTTCAGCCCCCTTGTCCGCCGACCGTTAATAGTCGGTGGTATACGCAATCAAAGCTTAATTAAAAATGTTGGTGGGTTTCGGGTTTGGACCTGTAGTTACTGTTAAGTCGTCGGATCAGGTGGGGTTCAGAAATGATGGCTACGGGCTGGGGCCGGGTCGAATCGGATTTTTTGGACTCGAGTGCAACTCTACACACCATTAACTACAGAACACTGATATACATGGATTAACTGTACACAAGAGCTTGTTTACTGTGAATACCTAACATAGACATATGATGTAGACTAGAGCCAGACCGATACAGAAATTTTTGCTATTGCCGATACAGATATTGGGAGGGGGAGATCAATGCCAATAACCGATATATTGGCTGAATTTGTTTAGCCATGTTCACACATGTACACTACACAGTATTTAGTTGCTCGCTGCTTCGGCTGTGCTGAAAGTGAAAGTTAAAGTGGTCTTGAAAGTAGTCCACATGCGCCCTCTGCTGGATACGTTGTACAATTACATCTTTTGCCAGTAAGGACACTGCTCGTTTCCAGTGCTTACATTGGCGCATAACGGGACAATTATGTCCGATACCAATATGTCTCCAACGCCCATATCGGCCTAAAATATCACCCGTACCAATATATTGGCTGGGCTCTAATGTAGACAATAAAAATTTAAAAAATTAAAAGTTTGGCTCTAACCTGTCCTATATACATATTTTAGTTTTTCTAGATAAAGAAACGTTCAGTTTTTAGATGTAAACGTGTACACATCTTAGTGTTTTTATTAGCTCCGAGTGATCAACACCTCATAAAAGTTCTCTGTGTTTAACATGTTTTTACTAAACCAGTTAGAATCCGAATGTTTAATGTTTAAAAAAGCAGCTGATTTAAAAAAAAAAATGGGTGGAAGGAGTTAACTGGTGCTGTGCATTCAGCAGAAAGGCTGTAAACCTGGAACCAATAAATACGAGTAAAACAGTCATGGGTCTCTGAGGCCAGAGCTATATTCCACAGGAAAAACAATCTTTTCTTCCGTTACTGAGCTGGTTTAGGGCTAATCTATCTGCTGCAAGGCAATAAACTCACTCAGTTGTCTGCAGACTACAACGACAAACATAAGAAACTTTAACGGTCAAAATATTTAAGGTAAAGTTCAGAATGACATCTACTCATCTGTCACGAAGGCATAATTGTCAAATACAGGTGGCATTTAATGAGACTTAATGGGGACAGTTTATTATTTGCATTTCCTTCTACAAGTCCACAAATTATTCAGAAGACCACACAGTTAGTAGTGATACATGCGCCCCTTTGGCTTATAGCAAATGCACGGTTCAAACTTGGAGCCATTTGTCCATCAGTAAAAGGAAAACAGCTGATATACAAAATATTTCCTCCCAGAGCACAGAGGCAGTTCTGTCTCACAAAAGTTGTCTTTTAGACCTCCACTGCAGAGACAAGGCAGTGGTTAAGTTATGTAAATTAATGCAAAAACAGAAACAGACTGAGGACGTTTCATAAGGATGTTTGAAACCACATACTTCCTCCCCTGATTATGCTCGTCTACTGGTCCAAAATCATGCAATGTTTTATAGAGAGCGTACGCAACATCCTAAAGGTCGGTGTCTTCAGTCTGCCCGCTGTTTGACTCAACTCAAACAAAAACTTCTGTCCCCGCTAAGGCAGAAGGCCTTACCCTACGATATGGAACATAACAGTGAATAATGAGGAACACCCGTGGAGCTGTTTGAGCTGATTTTCTGGCGCTGGTTCCAACAGAGAAGGACACTTTATTAAACGGTTTCTTGTGCTCTCGTAAAAAGGGCCCACTGTGCTCGGCCACGCTGGATGGCAGATGTGGTGCTAGCATCTAGCATTAACATTTTGTTCATGACCTATGGAATTACGTGTGCAAATCGACGCCTCGGTCAAATTCTGGATGGCCACCACAGCCAACTGACCATAAAAACACAAAAATGGAAATAATTCAGTCGATTTAAACTATAATGTGGTAAAATTTGATGTGGTAGTAGCTGAGAGTCATTCACAACACATACTCTCTCAGTGACGTCTAAGTATTCAGGGTTCCCAGCACTACATGAACAACATTTCTCGAGTTTTCCCTGAAGTTCTAGGAAACATTTTGGTCTCACAAAACACTTCAAACTTGGCACCTTAGGTGGGAGTTGAAGGATTGACTTTGAAGCAGCGAGTTATTTAACGCTCGAACATCAGGAGTTATGAAAGGGGTTACAATGACGCACAGCAGTGTTTCCCATAGGTCACTTGCCTTGACAGGGCGCTCATGCCTCCACGGGGGGTGGGGGCTTTGTTAGTGGCAGCAGCTGTCGACCTGTGGGGTGAATGCAAGAGAGAAGTGGAGCGCTACGTCTGTAGCTTCTTAGCTAGCATGGCTGTATTGCGCGCAGCTAGCTTAGGACTACATCAATGCCAGCAACTGTCGATTGGGGGGGGCGGGGCAGGCAGGGTGCTCGGTTCTGTTGACGGGGCGGGGAGCCCTCCTTGGATAACGGTAGGGGAAACACTGCACTGTAGAAGCAGTACATGAACTCAGTGATACTAGAATGCAAGTATTAATACATGTACACAGCAAAATCCTAGAAAATAATTTTCTTATGAGCAGGTCAGTGCTCGAATTCCCCGTCTGGAAAATATGAAAGTCATTTTCCAGATATTCCGACTTCCAGAGTAGCTGGGAACCCAGAGTATTGCATGAGTTTGTGCATATTGTTATTTTCAAGTTCTGACCAACAACCATGTCCTTTCTCAACATTTAAATCTAAAACTCTGGCATGAAAGGTCGAGCGGGTGATATCCATTACAGAATGCTTGGCCTTTAAAAATTCATTTTAATTTCTTGTCTGTCCAACATCACATTTGTTCCATTTTTGTTTTAGCAGCAGCAAATGTCACTTTGGAAAGTTACGACAGCAAACTGAAGTTAAGGTTCGAGGATAAATATGATGCTGCGACACGAGTTCAGCCAGAGCCTTTAGTGTCTGTTTGCATTTTAACTGGTATTTAAATAAATATCAGTTCATCTATTTATACAGTAAGCTCATTCCCAGAAATCTGCTTTCCACACAGATAAAAAATAAACATGTCAAATTAATCAAAGGTTTGTGTGAAAAAGATGGCAGTGTATGGAGCCAGAATTTTCTTCTAATCTAATCTAATCTTTATGGACTCCTTTTCCATCACCAGAAACCGTTAACACAAACGCCCACCTTTATTTACCTCGGAGGCCTTTTTAAGTGTTTTTTCTCTTGAACCTCCAGCCTGAGTTGTGTGCTTTGTGTACTGACAAGGATGCCAGGTGCTGAGCCTGATAATGTAATGCTGTAGAGATAAAACCCACTGCCTTCAGCTTGCTTCCTATTGTGATTCCCACCCAAAGGGTTACATGCAGGCAACATCCTCAAGAATCCAGCTCTGTTCCAAAGCAGGAAATAATGACTGGGCTTCAATAGAGCTGCAGTGGAATTCGTGCCGTTTTGTTTAGATTGCACGCTGGGACATGCGTGCAGAGCACCCCTGCTATCATGTCGTGGGTCGTAGAGACGAGGAGCGTGCAGTCCGACTTGGCCGGTGACTTTCTGCATCCGTTATCTTCTGCATGTCTGAAACTCACTGCATTCCTTAAAAAAGAAGGATGAATATCTCCCGTTTGGTATTTGTGGGTTTTTCTACAAGATGCATCAGATTACATGATGAGAAGTTTTAAGGTCCTGACACACCTCAAAACCTGGGAGTCTGGCTGCCCCGAACAATGACAGGAAAACAAACTATCTTTAATTTCATCAGAAGTGGTTAGTCAAGAAGCAACATTATTATTACAATGAATTGTTTGCATTCCTTTATGATTTTCAAATTAGAAACAGACAGATAATTAGTTATTTCCTCATCTGTTTATTCATAAGTTTATATAACAAGGTAAACTTATTAAAAGTAGGGCTTGGTGCCTGGTCCTAAATGAAAAATCAAAAGA